CTCCTATAAGGTATTGTGCTAGACACTCAGGAGAGAAAAACAAAAGGAAAAACAGTCATTTCCCTCAAGAACTTTCCATTCTACTAGGGAGATATAGAATATTTAAACAAATACATAAATACAATATAATTTGAAAAGGGAGAAAGCACTAAATTGCAGTAGGTCATCATGAAAGGCCTCCCATAAGAAATAGCACCTGAGTTGAGCCTTGAAGGAAGCTAGAAATTCAAAAAGACAGAGATGAGAAGGGAGTGTGTTCTAGGGTTAAGGCTATGCAAAGGCTCTAAGATACTAAGATCTTTACTCATGCTCACTGGTACAGGTCAATGTCCATTTCATCTCTAAGTAGAGGTTACCTATCCCACAAATGTAGACTGTGTCTATGTTTTCTGGACTAAAAGTCATTGCTTTAGGAAAAACATTATTATTAAAGAGAGGACATGTAGCAATATTTCCCGGAGAGGGAGTAATCCAAAGGCAGGAGCAGAATTTTAGCAGTGGGCATGGGCTTGGGCAGAGCCACTTGGAGTACACCGAGTCAGGCGGTTCAGTCCAGGGTCTTGTGTTTTGGGAGACTCTCTACCCACAATGAGTGCCTGGTTGATAGGAGGTGCTTTAAAAATGCTTGGTTCCCCCCCTTCCTTTTTTTTAGAAAAATAGACAGAAAATTTTAAGAAACCTAACAGAGAAAAGAAGAAGAGGGATTTTACTTAGCGATGGAACAGAAGGAGGAAGAGAGGTGAAGAATTAGATAACTAGATAAAACAAAGTAAAAGAAATTAATAAGTTAGGTAAAACTTTAAAGCTGGGAGGAAGGTAACAAAGTGGGAAGGATTTGAGAGTTAAAGGAAGGTAACTGGTAACTGTAGTGTTGCCTTAAAGTAGTTAAGCTAAAATAACTAAAAAGATGAAAAGTACTATCTTTGCAGAAAAAGGAAAAAAAAATCAAATTAGGAAAATAAAATAACATGTGGAGGAATACATAAACCTGACTCATACCCTTAAATGTGAATGGATCCATCCAATGAAACAATAACAAAAAAAAAGATTGACAAATTGGATATAAAAACAAAACCCAACAATCTGTTGCTTACAAGAAATATGTATAAAAAGCAAAGACATACACAGAATAAAAATGAAGGAATGGAACAAAATTATTATGCATCAAGTGAATCCAAGAAAGCAGAAGTTGCAATCAGACAAAGCAAAAACAAAAATTAAAGTCCTTCTCATATTCTTAGTTTTTCCCCTAGCTTGGGACTTTTACCTAATATTAATTTCTTTGTCTTTTATCTAGCTATCTAACTCTTCCCCTTGGTTTTAAAATCCCATCTTCCTTTTCTCTCCAACTTATTTTGTTAAGGTTGTTTTTGTCTTTTTTTTTAAAGAGGGCAAAAAAAAATCAGATATACAAGGAAATTTCATTACACTAAAAGAAACCGTAGACAACAAGCCAATATCAATATTAAGCTTATAAGTTCCAAATGCATCTAAATTTATAAATGAAAAATTAAATGAATTATGTTTGATATATACATATATACATATGCACACAACTATAATGTGTGTAACTAATCATACCCTATGTGTGCACACCCATGTATGCATATACATGTATGTTCAAGTATAAATGTGTATCTATGTACTGTATGTGTATACGTACATATACATTTTAAATTTTTTGTTTTAGAGTTAGCTGTAACTTCAGAAGGAAAGTCCTTATTCTTTCAACCTTTTGGGAATATCATTCTTATTACGTACCAGTGCATCAGTCCACTTTTCTGCCTTAGAAAGTGGAGTAAACTGACCAGGAAGGATAGCAGAGCTATCATTGAGTACCAATTTTCATTGTTATTTACTGTAGGTAGCTCACATTGAGGTGGGGCTAAAGCAGATATTGACCGAAGGCAGAATACCTCCCCTGCTCAGGTCATAACCGGGCATTTGAAAGAGTGAAAAAAGTGGTGCCAACATAATTCTAGGTGAAATGCCTCTTTTTTTTCAAAGACAGGTACAAGGGGGAAAGAATCTCTTCTATTTGTGGATTCAGGTTAAAATTTTACTGAACTGTAAGTTTCCTTAACATTTTTCCATCTCTTTTTTATCTAATAGTTCATGAGCAGATTTGTAGGGAAAAAAAGTCATTTTTATGAACCTATCTGACCAATTCTCTGGTTTTAAAGTTATGTGTAAAATATATTGTGAATGCTTTTGGGGAATGTCTAGCATTTCCAAAAATCTGTCCTGTCTGATTTATGGTTGTTTTTTGTTTTGTTTTGTTTTTTAATATTCTGTTGTCTGTTAACCATATAAATAAGTAAAATCAGAACTCCAGGAATTAATATCATCATTAGCACTATATATTGAAATAGGGAAAATAATCCTTCATTAATAATAGTATATTCCATTTTGTTAAGTCTTGGAATTTGATACTTGCCACGTACTAAAACAAAGAAAAAAAATAAAACTTTTATTCTTCTAGCCTGGTAACATTGTAAACACTGGGAAATGGATATGGCAAAGAAGCCAAAAAGAACTTTGATAGAGTCCTAATAATATTTACAATTCAGAAGATGAGGAGGGGGGTGGACAACCATACGCAAAGTTAAATTTTAAAAAGAGAAATGAACGAATGAATAAATTTTGAAAGGATATATTGATAAATAAATTATATTTAATATGCATATGTATTTATTTATATAATTTAGGGGAGGCATTGTTTTATAGTGGATAGAGAATTGGCACAGAGCCACGAAAACCTATGTTCAAATCCTGTCTCTATATCTATTGATTATTTAACACTGGCAAGTCATTTTAGTGGTCTAGACAACTCTCTAAGATTAGGTTGCAGAATAAATTTCAACCTACATTGGTAGAGAAATTTCCTAATCAACACTTCCCTAACCAGTGAAATTACAGGTCCTGCCTCTATTCTAATAAATTAATAATAACCACAACAATGACAACAAAATTAATGCTATATATGTTCATTTCATATTATATTGTGATGTATTATATTTTATTGTAAATGTAACTATATCTAAATTTAGATATATAATTTGTCAGGGCATCTAAATATTTTTTTCTAAACATAGTCAATAAAAAGCTATATGGTAGACAGAATTGCAATGCAGTAATATTACAAATAATGACTTGCACACAAAAAGGTGGCACCAAAAGATATCATTCAGGTAGACCAGATAAAAGAGGTAAGACTAGTCTTGCAGTAAAAGCAAGGGATGGACAGACTTGGTTGGTACACAGACTGGAATATTGAGAGACCTTGAGGAAGGTTTCTGGTCCTTTGGGTAAATACCCAGTGGAGGACTTATAGGACATGGTCAAGAATCAAACTGAATGAGAGGGTGTGACAACCTGCATTAGTAGAAGGGTACTTACAATGAAGAAGTATTAATCCATTAATGAACTAACATCATCAGTATAATTAAGGAAGTTCTCCCAAATAGCTGCCTTTCTGCTGTCTAAAGTAAATGAACTCTCTATGTATAGTCAGGCAAAAATGACCATTTGTCAATCTTCCCAAAGTTACTATGAAACATATCATAATAAGTGCATAAATTGGTAGCTTTCTTTTTATTGATTCCTATTACAGACACGGCATTGATTCAAAAGTCCTAAAATTTCTAAGATTACAGATAGACTCTGTCTTACCTCATTAGGGAGAAACAGCACAGAGTCCTCTAAATTTATTTCCAGACACTCCTTGACATATGCATTTCACAATTGGCTCCCTAACCATAGAAAAGAAGTATAGTGGATAGGGAAGGCAAAGGGAAATTGTTTTCCAATTATCCTTTAGTTAACTGTCCAATCCTTAATTTTTCACTGGATGGTTCAAGGTGAGGAACTAGACCCAGGGACCCAAGAGAGAATCTGACCTATTGCCATAGCTCATCTTCTAGACTAGATGTTATCATGTAATTGATTCTCATAATGCCGGAGTACAATAGTTAAATTAAAGTATATTGTCTCTTTGTCCATCAGAAAAACTTCTGGAGGCAATTGAGGCCTAAGGGGATCATAGCACATGAGAGTGTCCCCCATAAACTTATCTCTTCTCCTTCCAAATCCAGTCCTGTGGATGGCCCTCTACTACCTCCTTCCTAATCTTATCATTCAGGCTCACAACTCAAGCAACTGGAGGAAATTATGGATGGACAAGTGTTGTGGCCAGAAGTGGGGCTATATCTATCTCTAGGGCCAACAAATGAAAGAGACAAAGACCAAAAAACTATGATGGGGGAAGCCAAGAGGCTGACTGGGAACAAGGACTAAGATTAGAGTTAGAGCTAAAGGGCTGGGGTATTAAGGGATTACCATTGTAAGATTAGAAACAAGGCCAAGGGACAGTCACTGAGAGATCTGGAGAGTGGACTTTCCACTGTGCTGTCAGTTACACATTCCTCTCAACTGCCCACCCTAGAAATTCTATTCCCACTGAGCAGATTGTGGGACAGTCACCAAGTAGAACAACTACAAGACCACCAGAGAAGCTTCCCTAACACTCAAGCCAGGAAAAATAATCACAGAAAATGATTCCCAAAACAAGTTGTGTCTAATATCTCTCTGTTTTCACTTGATTAACGGACCCAGGCTCAAGGAGGAGAGCTCCTTTGTCCTGTGCCCTGGGTCCAAGATCCACTCTCTATACTATTATCATCTTCTCTGGATGCTGTGGTCTCCACTAATGGGACAACACAAGGTGAAATGCAGCCATTTTGTTGGTCAGCAGCAGCTCAGAAGCAAGATGTCTTAGCGAAACCTTCCAGTAGCACTCTCTTCTCCAGCAACCACATCCCTGATGGCTCTCAGACCTTAGTGTCAACCAAGTGGAGACAGGGCTTACTGTTAGAAAATATCGTGAGCAATTTGTGAGAAACTTGTGAACCTGCTTTTTTTGATTCTTTAACCTAATCATTTGTGTTTAAAAAAAACTGCCTCTGGATTCAAGTAAAAAGGGGACAGTGAAACAACCAGACATGGCCTGCATCATGGAGGAAACTGAAGGTGAGGAACCTTATCTTCTGAGACATATCTCGTGTGCGTGCATGTGTGTGTGTGTGTATGAGAGAGAGAGACAGAGAGAGACAGAGACAGAGAAAGTCAGAGAGACAGAGAGAAACAGACAGACTAAGGGAAAAACAGAAAGAGACGGGAAGGAGAAGGGAGAGGAGAGAATGTTCTGAGCCTTAAGTGTTGTAATAGATTATGTGCTAAAGGGAGGTTGAGTACACAGCTTTCCTCCTTTTGCTCCAGCACCTAGACTAATGTTGATTTGTAGGCAGCCTTAAATACTTCAGGCACTGTTTGGGGCTTTCTTCCAGCATTACCTCTTTAAAGGTTTGCAGCCCACTGGAGTATCAGGTGGTTAATTTTTTTAAGGGAAAATTTCTGATCTCATTTTAACTATTCATGTCTACCCTGGAGATAACTACATAAGGAGAGAGTATTCAGAAGGTTTTTAAAGTAGCAAGTAGAGAGAGATTTGAAAGAAGAAAAAAAATTATGTAGTCAAAATAATTATGAATGTTCCAAACCAGTGGGTCAGTTTCCACCCTGCTTCTCCCTGAAGTATATGGCATGCAGAAAGAGCAAACAGTCTTTCAACCAGTACATTGTCAGAAGAAAATATGAAAAGAGAATATGAAAAAATCACTGGTCCACCTTGAGGAAGTGTGTACCTGTCTTAAGTAGCTGTGGAAATTAAATGAAAACTAGAAACCTATCTTTCTATCCAAAAAAGAGCATCTTCTCCCTAGGGAAAGGGTCCTTCTTAATGAGATATGTGAAGGACTTTGGGGACAGTGGATTTACAAAATAAACTGTTTAAACCTGTTTTTAAGCAAAAATATACTTCCTAATTCCAGCCCTCCATGCTTCATGGGGGGAACAAAGATCTATCCATTCTCTATTCCTCCCTTTATTCATAAAACAGTGCCTGGTTCTAGATTTAATCACTGGTTCTTTTGTTAAAAATTTCCCCCTAAAAATTACTTGAGGAGAGGTTCAGCATAATTTTAGCCCTTCATCATTACCAGGCACCCCACTTCTTTATACTTAAACTGAAGTTGTAAGTAAAATGATACTTCCACTTTGTAATACATTAACTAGACTTTACAATCCCTCCTGGTTTCCAACTGACAAAATTACTTTTATATTATTCACATAATTGCTAAGCTTAAATGTATGTTTCTTCCAATATTGCATAGAAGTTTCCTGATTCAGAAAACAAGTAAATTAGCAAATGATCATTTGGAAAGCAAATTATTAGATTCCTTTAAAAAGTGAGCTTCCCTATAAAACTTGATCCATGATTTGATTAATCCACAACCTAAAGGGACATATCTATTGTATACAAGGAAGTCAGCCATACCAATGTGCAATGGCAGTCATGAATTTTATATCTCTTGAGTGAATTATATATCTTGAATGAAAAAATGTGCTGGAAATTTTATTGTCTCCATTGATTAATCTACCTTCCTTTGGGACCAGTAAGGGCCAGCTTTAAAGATAGCTAGAGTAGGCCTATGTGGTCTGATATTGATGGTTTCTTTAAGGGGGTTCCCTGTCTCCAAATACTTCTCCTAACAGGTATCCCAATGCCTGAAATTCCAACACTAGAGATTTATTCCTTTGGTCATTGAAGGTTATCTAGTCTTCCAGAATATCTTACTAAGATAGTAATATCCAGAGAGTAATAGTAACATTAAAATGTTATCTACTAACATCAATGATGATTGGTTGATAGCCAGCTGAGAGCAAGATGCTATGGGAACAAGACACAGAAGAGGCGCTTGGGCAGAAGTTGAGAGTGGGGAAGAAATGATGAAGGAAATATATTAAAAGGGGGAGGTGAGAGATTGCCAGAGATAATTTTACTCATTTTTCTTAAGAATAACTAGAACTAGGATTAAAATAGTCAGTCAGGGATAAAGCTATGGACAGAAGAAGGAAAGCTCCAATGGGGTGTCAGATTTAGTGCCTTTTGAATGCAGGAATAAGGAGAAATGAGTAGCCACTTGTCTGCCCAGTGGATAGAAATTGAGTATCTTGTCTATTCTTTTTTGGGGGGCAGAGGAAGGCAATCAGGTTTAAGTGATTTGCCCAGGGTGACACAGCTAGTAAGTATCTGAGACTAGATTTGAACTCAGGTCCCCCTTTCTCCAGGGCCACTGCTCTGTCCTCTGCACCATCTAGCTGTTTGTACCTTTTCTGTTCTTATCCTGGATACCTTGACTTATGAATTGCATATCCCCCAAGTGGCCTCATGACATAGTAGATCAAGAGCAGTTCTTGACATCAGAAGGTTTAGTTCAAGTCTTGTCTCTAGCACACACTAGCTGTGTGACTATGGACAAGTCATTTAAATTTTTAGTTCCCTAGGTTATACCCCAAGACTACGCTTGGAGATGTGCTCCTGATCTGAGTTGTTGAAAGGAGCTTCAGAACTAAGAGTTCCCTGCGCTAATGAAATCACAGGTCTATACCAATATGTATCCTCGTTATTATGCTGTGAGCTCTTTGAAGGCATGGACTATGTCATAACTATTTTTCCTGGTATACCTATCACACAGATCATATGTTTAATAAATATTTGTCAAACTGTTTGCAAAATTTAAATAAAAATTTCATAATGATTATTCCTGGGACACTTCAGCAGAGATCTCAGCGTCTCCTTTTGGTTACATTTCAGAAATTTCCAGAGATATTCACCTCACTCTTGGTATGCTGGACAAGGAGGACAATGAAGGCAAGGTACAGTAAATTTACAAAATCATACAATTGTAGAATCATGGATTTAGAGCTGGCAGAGACCTTAGAGATTATTTGGTGAAAAAGAAAAAAAGAGAAAAGAAAAAGAAAACCTTCATTTTACAGATAAAGGAATGGAAATTTACAGAGAAATGCATCCTTGTTCATAGTTTTCAGATCTGTTGTAGAATTTCACACCATTCCTTTTTTGCCTAGGCACTGTAATTTCTTTCCAACTTCCATTTATCTCCAGATTAGTTATACTTCACATGGTACTATCTTTTCCATGAAATAACAGCTTTAATAGAAATCTTGATTATATTTAAAGGATTGCATTTAATGATATTTTAAAATCACAGAATCCAGTTGTCTTCAGATGCCAAGGGCATCCTTTTCAGTGCCGTTATTTGATGTCCTATTTCAAACCACTAAATTCATGCTCTGATTGATCCCTCCTAACAACGTTGAGGTGCTCTTGGGTTCTCAGAAGTGTGGCCAGTGGAACATAAGCTCTAGTATGTCTTATCAAGGTGGAAAAGATTGAATATGCAGCTGTCAATGGGTAAGTTTAGATACAGGCTCTCCGGCAAAAAACTGCCCATCAGATGAGGGTTATTTTATTTATTTTTAACTGCAACTCCTGAAACTATTAATAGAGAAGCTTTTGTCTTCTTAGAAGGAAAAAGTACCCACATTGAAGAAATCACAGATCTTTTGAGGCATGGAAGTATGTGAACTGTTGAGGCACTGAAGTACATGAGAACTATATTCTGTGATGATTAAAATATAATTAAATGTAAAATTAAGACTTCCATTGAAGGTGTTTATGGCAGGAAATGGGAGAATAAGCCAACCTTATAAATAAGTCAAATAGGAAGCCTCTTCAGTTTTGTAATTTAAGAGGCTCCTGGGAAGGTCCCAAAATATCTTCCTACATGGGCTAGTTATAAATCTCATCATTAGACATTCATTCCTTTGGGTCTCCAAGTCAGCCCAGGCTCCAAGAGACTCTTCTTCAATCCTTCAAAGTATTCATGATCTCATTCATTGATGTAAACATTCTCTCTGTCCATTAGTAGAGATTGCAACTCTTGTAACTCTTGCCCTCTTGTCCTGGATGATTCTGGACCATGTTCTGCCATAGATCTTCTGCAAAGTATTTAAGCAACATACTGTCTTTACTAGTTCGTTCCATATTTCATGGATACTAGTGTATCACCCAGATTGTTCCTAGTTTTTCCCTGGCTCTAACCGACCCACTTCTCTTCCTAGTCCTGGATGATGTCTCTTACACCAGAGGCACTGCTGCATAGTGGGTAGAGACGTGGCCTAACAGTCAGGGTGACTCAGCTTCTGACACCTCCTGGCTATGTGATCCTGGAAATGTCATAGAACATGTCAGTCCTCCAGGAAACTAAGACTCTAAGTTGTAGGAGAGAACCCTGCATGGCTGAAATCTCAAATCTCAACTACTTCTTGTATGAAAAGTGTTGAAAATGCAATTTATTTCTCCATTGTTCTTTGAGTAACCTGCAACTTTGCTTCTTCTGAGCTGGTGGTATCACAAGACTCATAACTATATATCATCATAAGCAGAATATTTTTGCTTAAAAAGAGATTTCTGAGGAGCAAGGTGAGTTCATTAAAAACTCTGCACAATTTAGGCTACCCAGGCTTCTTTCTTTATCTTACTCAATTCTAAGACCATCTTCTTATTCATCTTCAGAGAATGGTTGAGGCATATATACTAGAGATGGACTAACTAAATGTATTGACCATTCAATTGCATGTGATAGTCTCAACATTAGGAGTTTTCACACAGTTGCTTTTTCTTATATGAGTTGTTAGGTTGATTTCTTTCAAATAATCACAGATCTCATTGAGGAGGCCCTGTAATGTCTAGGGGCTTGATAACAATTATCACAATGCTGTCCAAAAAAAAAGAAATCCCTGGAAAACCTCAAAAATCAGATGCCTTTCGTGGCAATGGAGGAAACTCTGGCAAGCATATATCTTCCTGAATTATGCCTCAATAGCTAGAAGGTTATTGAATGGAATGATCTTTGTGGTTGGAGTTATTAAATAATTTTACACGATCTTAATGTGAGCATTAAGTAGTGTTAGAGGAGAACCTTTAGAGCTGTATTTTTCCCTACCAAGTCAAATACTTTTGGAGCATGAGGATAATTAAAAAAATAAGGAGTGGACCTTTGTATTCTGTCTATCTTCTAGTCAATTGTGTGCCTATGAATGTGTTATCTGCTACAAGGGATTATTTGTAAACATCTGCCTATCGCCCTCCTCATATTTTTGTCACCAATATCCTAGATACATTTGTAAATAATTCTTATAAAGAATATCATATTGAGAAATTAGGAATATGAATTAGCAGTTATGAATGTCCTCTTTGCCATCTTTTTAGAATAATGATGTATAGTCTAGTTTCCCCCATTCTGTTGGTATCTTCTCCTCCCTAAGATATTATGTAAAATGAACCCTCAATGATTTCACATTTGTGTTGTCTCTAGTATGGAATTCATCTGTGTACTTGGTCTGATCCAACTGTTTCTCCCAATATCTCTCTGATATTTTAGGGTGGAAATATAGGTGTCTCACTGTCATTAATGATGAAAATATATCATTATAGGATCAATGGCATATAGGATCAATCTGTTCTACTTATCACTTATTTGTCCTACTGACAGTTTCATCTATGAATGCTTCTCTTGAAATAGTATGGCTTAAATGGTTCTCCTGCAAAGCTTTCTGATGACTTGTTTTCACCACCTTTGATTGTATTATGAGGTAATATTGCTTGTAATCTTCCACCATTCTTTTCAGTAATGGTTAATAAATAAGTTTGTATACAAAACTAGTTTTGTCTTTGACTGTCATATTTCTCTTGAGTCCATTGTCTCATTCTTGGGTGAGAGTGACAGAGCTGAGACCCCTGCACCATCGGCTGTCTGAAAACACAATCTTCTTTTTTGAATTCTTTTCTGCTCCCTCTGGCTCTGTGATTCCAGTCCACCCTTTTCCCATAGTTCACACCATGATCACTTGCCTCTGATTCAAATCTATGATTTTGTGCTGAAAAGATGACCCACTATGGTTGCTCCTTAGATTTTTAATCAGAACTTGTTCTAGACTTCATTGGGCATCTTTGTTCAAGTAGTTGTTGGGAGAGCTGGACTATGGTATTTCTTCCCATTCTACCATTTTGGCTGGTCTCCATATTTCTTTATTTAGTAATGAGAGTGGTTGCTGACTAAGGTGGTTTTTGGACAATTTTGACCTCCTTTTGTAGAAATTATTTTATATCTGTTAAGCCCATACAGGTAGCAGTGAAATCCAGATAATCATCTTTGCATTTTGTCATTTCCATTGCATTTAGTATTTACTTTAGGTTTAAATGATTGCAATTTTACAAAATATCTTCTTCTTATCTTTATATTTTATTCTAATTTGATATTGATATTTACTTTTGTTCTAATTTATGATTTGACTACAACTAATACTGATACAATTTCCACACCAGAAACTAATAGCATTTCATCCATGAAGATACAGTCACTTTCATTTTTTGAATTATCGTTTGGTGCTTGCTATGTCTATCACCTCCTGATGTTTTTCCTAAAGAGAGTAGCTGTGATACACTGGTTTGAAACTTCTGAGTTCTCCGCAAGTCTTTGGTCACTTTGTTTTCTTAAACCCAAACCATATTTTCCAATGTACTTTTCAATATCCTCCCCTGTACCTACTTTCACTCTGAGTGTCATTATATTTTGACTTGGTTTAAAGGATCTTATCACATGATTGATAGAATTTTCTACCTCTAACAAAGATGTTAGCACAAAAGCACTACTTCTCTTGGGTGGATTTCTTGCTTATCCTCACGTTGAGCACTTTAAGGCAAGGTGACCTATGTACCATGAAATGATATTTCTTAATGTCTTTGGGTGCATAATAAGAGCAAGTTCATGAATTCCTTTGTTTTTATCTACATAAGGAGAAACTGTCAGTTATCTTTACATTTGGTTGCATTTTTTGTCTTCTGATTTTGTTTATCAGAATAATATCAACAGTGATGTAGTTAATTCTTCAGTTATTTGGTCATTGGAGAAATATTTCAAATTTTGAATACCAACAATGAAATTTTGGATATCAACAATTAAGTTAATATTTATTTATTGCTGTTGAGTTGTTTTCAGTCATGTCTGACTCTTCGTGATCCCAGTTAGGGTTTCTTGGCAAAGGTACTGAAGTAGTTTGCCATTTCCTCCTCCAGCTCATTTTACAGATGAGAAAACTGAGGCAAATAGAGTTAAATGCCTTGCTTAAGGTCACACAGTTAGTAAGCTTCTGAAGTCAGATTTGAACTCAGGAAGATGAGTCTTCCTGACTTCAGGCCCCTATCCACTGTGCCACCTAGCTTCCCTTAAAACGTGTGTCATTCCAAATCCAAAGGACTTATGATGAAAAATGTTATCCATCCCCAGAGAAAGAATTGATGGCATCTGAATACAGATTGAAGCATACATTTTTACTTTATTTTTCTCGAGGGGTGTTTTTTTGGTTTATGTTTTCTTTCATAACATGACTACTATGGAAATGTTTTGCATGACTACACATGTATAATTGCTTGCCTTCTCAATAGAGGTGGGGAGGTGGGGAGGAAGGATGGGAGAGAATTTGGAACTCAAAGTTTTAAAAACAAATGTTAAAAATTGTTTTTACATGTAATTGGGGAAAAATAAAATCCCAAATAAATAAATGAAGTTTTAAGTGTGTCATTCTTAGCACCCTCTGCCTTATTTCCACCACTCCATTTTTATTATGGAAGCATAAGGGAGACACATGAGATTAAGACATTCTCTCCTTCTTTTGTTCCATGGTTTGTCATGGTTGAAAAATTCATCACCCAGTGGCCAACCTACTGGTGATGAGCCTCTTTGTCTTTAGCCATGTTGGTCCTCAGACTTCAGACTCAATGTCGTGGCATTAGGACTGCACTGGAAACCTTTCTAATGTGGTGGACCTAGTCAGAGCTTTAACAACATTAGCATAGTCTTCAGTGATTCCAGCTCCCCTCCACGCTATTAGGCATCAGAGTAGGATTTTATGGAGGAAGCTTCCCTATTAAATGTTAAATACTCCTGAATGGGAAAAAATGTACTTTTCCACAAAGATGGACTTTGCTTATTTCACAGGTTTGAATAAGTAAGATGGCATGGTGGATAGAGGGGTAGAGTAGAAAGAAAAATGATTCTCCTCATATGAATAGGTATAGTGAAAGTGACCAGTCCTCTCTGGTCTTTTCCCAGCAACCTTTGTACTGAAAGTTCAATCAATAATGTCTGTTCATTGTTGCTTCAACACATCTTCTTTACACCCCCAGGAAAACTAAACAACTGTAGGATGAGAATTAAACCAAGAGAACTGCTTCAAAACAGTAACCACATCCGCAAACCATCCCGGGCCACCTAGCCTGAAATATGTCTGAGAGATGTAACCCTTAGTAAACTTGTTGCAGCACTCACTAGCCTTTTCAACCAAACTTGCCTCTCAAAGAAAGTTTAATAAACAGAAACTTAGCATTAACTTTGGTGCAAAGAACATGTGTCAAGTTGTCTATGGTTATTCACATTCATTGATACCATGTTATAATCTCATTAACTAGTCTTATTTCTTAATTGAAAAAGCTTGCTCTTCTCCCCTGCAGAATGTAAGCACCTAAAGGGCAGATTCTGTTTTGTTTTTGCTCTTGTATCCCCAGGACCTGTAGTTTCTCACGAACACTTGAGAAGTATTCATTGAATTTAATTAAATTGAATTGAATTGACACCTAAACTAGTAGGCTTATTCACATCACAGGTCAATTAAAAAGAATTCTCTTAAGAATACGAAAGTTTAACTTTCATCAGTCACACTCTTGTTTAATAGAAGTGGAAAAATCCTTTGGCCACATGGCATAATACCCCAAACTTCTGTTCTGCTCCTTCAAATATCTCTCCTTATAGGAGTCTTTCTGACTGGTTTACATATCATTTCTGTCTTGATTTAAATTGATTAACATTTCTCTATCAAAGAGACTTTTATATTTCCACATTGCTGACACATGTTCAGAAGGTAAAAGCTCATATCTATCAATTGAATATAAAACTGAATTTATTGTGGAAAATGCTGAAAAATCACAAATATTTTCATCTGGTTTCTATTTTGTAGGAAATCTAAAGTTTATCATTTTTATGTTTTCAGTACTTCCCGTCCTATCTTGGGCCTGAGTCACATTCTGAAAATAAGCTAGTTTCTTTGGGTGGCATTAACTAAGCTCTAGAATACATTTATTAAGCATTAAATATTTGTTGTTGAAAGTTCTCTGTTGGGTCTTGGGCTTGAGAGAGAGGGAGCATGTTCACTACCAGCCCACTGGGAAGCCATTATCATAGGATTTAGAACTATAAAGGAACTTAAGGACTACCTACAGATCCATCAATCAATCCACAAACATTTATTAAGCATTTACTGACTAGGTACACAGCTAGATGGTATAGTGGACAGAGTGCTAGGCCTGGAATCAGGAAGACCCAAGTTCAAATCTGGCCTCAGACACTTATTGACTGTGTGACCCTGGGCAAGTCACTTAACCTTGTTTACCTCAGTTTTCTCACCTGTAAAATGAGCTGGAGAAGGAAATGGCAAACCACTCCAGTATCTTTGCCAAGAAAATCCAAGTGAGGTCTCCCAATCTACAAATATAAGCTATTGATTCCTAAGAATATGTCAAGGAAGCAATGTAGAAACCTGAGAGTATTTTTTTTCTAGTGGAGATCAATAAGCATTGTTGTCAATATCTTAGTTCTGAATATCATCTAATTATTATGATTTCACCATACTAGTTTCTATTTTCATACTTGTGTGTTCACAGGAAGACATTTACAGTAGTCTTGCTACCATTATCCAGAATAATGAAAACTTGAATAACCCAACTATTCAAAGAATGATTTTTCATGCCTCCAAGGACATGAGGAACGATGATGTGAGTAAAGTTTTGCAGTGTGGTCCCTGTACCTCCTAAGAATGTTGGAAGGATCCACTCAGATAAACTATGTAAAGTCTCTGTAAACCCTAGAGTGTTAATGTGAAGCTGTAAGATACTATCTCTCTCATCATGGCCATCATTATGGTTATTTCACAGGCTTCAAGAGAAATGAGAATGTTAGCCGGGGAGGTTTTAGTGTCTCTTGCTGACCATGATTTCAACTCTGTGATGGATGAAATACAAAGACACTTCAAGATCATGGAGCTCCCCGATGAATTCACCGTCCTTGCCCTGGCTGAACTGGCGACCAGACATGGTATAGTTCCTTCTGCCAGTCTTGTTATCTGGTTGTTGGCAAAGATGGGGAAATGATACTTTCTCTAGGAAATAATCCAAACTAAACTAATTACCAGTAATTCAGGTACCTTACCATATCCCCCTAGCAGGGATAGCAAACTATATGTAAAAGTAGAAAGAAAAATCTGCTTCTGTGTTATAGAATAACATGCTATGACAGAGATGTTCCATGCCCTTTATGTGTAAAGATGCCAGTGCTAATGCATCATCAATAAGGTATGTAGATTTTTCATTGGACAAGTATTGCGGATATATTTTCTGAAACGATTCATTGATTCTCTCTATCTGGCCAAGTTCCAGAGGCAAGTAATGGCAAAATAGCTGGCCAGGGCTGGGAGTACTTGTGTGTCATTGTGGATAGTGCCAAATCTGAAGTCTGGAAGGCCTGGGTTCAAATACTACCTCTGAAACATCTGAGATATGTGACATTGATCAAATCACTTAGTCTCTCAAACCTCAGTTTCCTCATCTGTAAAGTGAGGATAAAGATACCTAGAGCACTTCCTCATAGAGTTGTTGTGAAGTTCAAACACTTTGTGTACTTCAAAGTGCTTTATCAATGCTAATTATCATTACTACCACAGAATAAAACAAAGCTCACTACTTTACACCACGATTAAGCTAACAACCTCAACCTTATTAACATGGCCCAGTGACCAATAGAGCCGATCATCCATGAACTAACAATCCTCACTTCATTTAATCAAGAGGAGGCCACCCAAGTAGAGGCAGAGAAGTAGCTTTCACGTACATCTGCAAAGTCTGGGGCCCTAGCTTAAGACTTTTTTGAATTTGTGCAAAATACACACCTGGTGTACTAGATGTAGCTAAGGTCCAATTCATTCTCTAATTATAGAATGGCATGAAGAGGCTCAGGTAGAGAATCCAAGGGAGTCCAGCAGTTAAACTCTTCTGACCTCTCTTCCAATCCATTCTCCACTAGTCCCTCCTGTAACATAAACTATGTTGCTAACACCTTCTTGATATTAATAGGATACTCAGGTCCAGGGAGAATAATCCATTGGCAGAAGGTAATATCTTTGATCTCTTCTCTGCAGTATCCGAGAGCATACCATTCATGACTATGACCTTACTAACTATGCAAACCATGGTAAAGTTAGCTGAAGAAGAAAAGATGAAGAAAGCATTCTGTATTGGTGAGTATTTCCTCAGCTTCCTTCTCATTTAATAAAATACCATAAGATTCAGTTTTTTCTTCTTCTGAGTAACAGGAATGGAAGAGTTTTTATTTATTTTTAGTGAACATTATAATCTTTTACTGCTCATCTTTTCCACTCTCTGCCATCCCTCATTCCTTAGTTTGACCACAAAACATTGTATCATCATAGTTACAGGAATCAGGTGGGTTTCCAAATTTAGACCAAACTCCATATCCAGCTCAGAATGCAATGTTTTATTAGTCTTAAGCTAACAGTCTCACCTAAAGAAAAAAATACCATAAGGTCCTGGGGAAAAAAAAGGGCTGGAACATCCAGAAATCATCTCATTCATTACCCTTTTCTAGGTAAGTAGATGAGTATTTTATGATTAAGGTTCTAGAGGAAAGGAGAATCACTAAGCTTTTTTTTTTCAGAATCCATGCTAATAATGCTCAAGAAACCACCATATTGTCATGAAATACCTCCCTTTCAATAAACCACATATACTCTTCTAAACTTGGGCCCATGACCTGTCTTATTGTCAGTAGAGTTGGAGAATGACTAACTACCTTTTCTAGCCTTGAAGATACTAATTCACTTATACTACTCGGGTATCCAGAATTGCCACTTTTGATCACAGCTAAAGAAAGGAGTAAAATTTGGACTTGAATATAATAGTATCATATCTGTGTAGGTTAATTATTTTTGCTAAATGGCCAGATTCAGTTGCCATTAAACTAGCTAAGATGACACAAGAGGAGGATTTACAAGGATATTTTCTGATTTTACTATAGGAAACTTTCCAGGGGGAACTCTGATCCTAACGTGAGTTAGTCACAGTCAGTCAATAAATAAAATTTTTTAAGTACTTACTGTGTGTCAGTCATTGTGTTAAGAGCTGGAGATATATAGAAAGCATGAGATGGTTCCTGCCCTCAGGGAGTTTATAATCTAATGGAGGAAAGACAACACAAAAAAGGAGGAGGGAACAGGAAGGGAAACTTGATCTAGGGCTTTATGAAGTCCTACATCTGGGTAGGAAATGATCTGAGGAAATATGAATTACAGAGTGGCATCTTGCAGGTGAAATGAGTTTCTAGAGATGTTGGAAGCAAGTGATTTTGCAATGAGTAGCTACTGCTAAAACATTATTATTGAGCTATGAAAATAATCATTGGCTTAAGTGACAAAAAACTCAAAGAAAACAAGATTCAAAGAAATTAGACTTCATGCTGAATGAAAATCAGCCAGGACAGTTAATATTCTTTACCTTGACGTTTTTTTCCTATTTCATGGGAATCTATGTTTGGGGATGAACATCCATGTGTTAGCTATCAATTGTCTTTTATGTTTGCTGATGACTGGAGAGAGCTGTTATCAATAAATAAAGTCGATGCTAAATGCAAATTTGGTGACCCTAATGTTACCTTTGCAGCCCATGATCTTTTTAAAGCCATTTGTTGCATTGATTTATTTATGATGTGTTCTTTTCCTCTCTCCACCTGCCTTTTTTCAGCTCTTCCTGATTTGTTTCTAATTCTCTCTTTGAAACGCAGCCCTTGAGACCTTCAGTAAGGCCATTTTCAAATATATCAACCACTGGGAAGAATTTCCTTATCCTAAAATGAATGCCAACCGGTTCTCTGATAAGATATACATACTTTTTCGGTTCATAATGGACAAGTGGACAATGAACATGACCTATGAAGTAAGTAGGAGATGTAAAGTGGCTTTAACTCTGCTTTTCTGCAGCATGAGCTAGCTTCCTTGTCCTTCTATGATGCTATCTACCAACATTCAATTCCATTCAGAAGCTATGGGGTTTGCTTTATTAATTACTCCAATTTCTTCATTTTTCCTTCTGTTGTATTTGCTATACTTTGATCGGAGTAATAAACCAGACATAATATGAATGGCATTAATATGTCAGTTAAAGGAAGCTCAAGCCATTTAAACCCAGGTTTGAGAGGATGTACTGTTCAACCTACACATGCTTAACTTTGTTTAATTGCTGTAACATCTTCTAAGAAAGCTTAATTATATCCTATGAAGTCATCCAGTTACAGAACATCTATACTTTTTCTCCTTTTATATTAGAAATAATGGGTTTCTATATGGGAGTGTTGTCTCTTCATCTATTTTTCATACTTTAAGTCATCAAATAAGTTCATTAGGACATCTTGAGCTCTTTTCACATGTGAACAGAAACATTTCCTTTAGGCTTTATTTTCCCTTGGGACATGAAGAAAAAAATATCTTTTTAAAATGTAACTATAAAAATGGAATGTCTGGTAAAGTTTCAATTCTGATTTTATATAATGACAGAGATAATGATCAAAATATTCATTTGTAAATTATTTTATACACAGCATTTATAATTTGAGTTTATGACAATATTTTCTTCCTTTGCTAACCCCTCTACACTATCTCCAATTATATAAAGGACCTAGCCTAAGCATTATTTTAAAAGTCACATACTCTTCTCTGATTGGGTCAAGATAATGACCTCTGGCTTCACCTGGCCACAGATATCAAGGAAGAATGATAGAGGTTGAATTTTGGAGCCATGTAGTCTTGTGGGGGCTGTAAAGAAAGTTGTGTCCATTTAGAGAAACAGAATAACTAAGCATTAGAGATTTTGCTTATCCCTATTTTTACAGACCAACCAAGCAATTGTCAAGGCCCATGGCCCAGCAGTGGCCCTCCTACTTCACCGGGAAGACCTCCAGGAGTTTGCTTTACACCATGTGCCTTGGCTCTTAAAGCAATATAAGGATGTTGAAACAAATTTCTATGTCACTCAGGTAGGTCAGGAGTCAGTCACTGAAGGAATAAGTTCTAAGACCCACTCACAGATCATACTGAGGAGTAAGAGGTGGCATTGTTGGAGTGGTACTTTTTTGAGAAATCACACTGAATTTGAAGGCAAATAGCCTGCACCTGAATTCTGGTTCCACCACTTACTCTATGACCTTGGCAAGTCACTCACCCTCTCTAGACTTCAATTTCCTTAGCTATAAAGTGAAGACATTGGACCATATTTCTCACTTTAAAAAAAACTTATGTTCTAGTGATCCAAAAACATTTCGGACAGTTGTATTTAAGATGAACACAAAAAGAGGTGAAGCTAGGTAACAAAGATGCTCTATACCCTTATGCGGTTTCTATCTGAGGCTGCTAAGGGGAGGGTGGTGGAAATATCGTGCAAATGACCAGAAGGAGCAAGCACAATCCTGCACCCCAAGTGGGTTATGTGTTGCTGTGCCTACCAAAATGATATTAATACATTGTCACAAGTTATATTGCTGTTCCACATACATTTGCCAGGTAACCTGTCTGAGCAACTTCCACCTTAAACTTAGAAGTTCTGAGTAAATACAAGTCATTGTTATTTCAGAGTCTAAAACAACTATTGGCTGCAGCCAAACTTTATGAAGTCTACATTCCAAAGAACACAAAAAGGACCATCTTTACTGTCTTACACCAACAGGTAAGAAGTAGAGGTGTGTTTTTATTTCTCTAACAGTATTGTTTTCTACTACCAACCCACTCCCATTTCATAATTGTTCCTCTCCATTCTACAGCTCTGTGGCATCTTAGAGCCGAAAGCTAAGGAAAATGAAAATGAAGCTGTGCAGTGTTTCCTCATTCTAGGTAAGAAGAATATCTGGTAGGAAGCAGAAAACCTAGTGGAGTGCCAGGTACTTGGTATAAATGGGGCCCCAGTGAATCCTCAATAAAAATGTTGACTGATGGTGATGAAGAAAACACTGGCAGGCACGTAACCCCAACCCAACGCCACCCAAGAGGTGAATGCCTCCAACTTGAACAGGAGGCCTTCTACAACATGCCAGAAAAAGTGTTCCCCCAACCTCTGCTCAGAGATTTTCTTTTATGGGAAGCTCACTATCTGTCAGCTCAGCCCATTCTATAGTTGAACAGCTCTAAGGGTTATGAAATTTTTGCTTACATTAATATGAAATCTGCTTCTCAGTGACTTCCACCCATTGTTCCTGGTTCTGTACTTTGGGGCCACATAAAATAAATAAAGGCCTCTTCCACATGGAATCCCTTCAAATATTTGGTAATAACATAATCCCCATAAGTCTTCTATTCACCAGGTTAAACAAACACAGTTTCTCTATACAGAATTCATTTAATATCAATTTCAGTCATCTCCTTATCTCAGATGTCCTTATTGGATATTCTCTTGTTAGTTAGTATCTTTCCTAAAATGTAGCACCAAGACCTGAACACTAAGAATATTCTGACCAGGGCAGAGTACAGATGTACTATTACTTCCCTTTTTCTGAGTGCCCTGTTTCTATAATGCAACCTAAAGTTTCAATTGAATTTTTGGCTGCTATTATTCAACATTGTTGATCAATACTGAGTTTTCAATCAAATAAAATCATAAAATCTTTTTCATAGTAACTTGTCTAGGCATCCTTCCCACATTCTGTTCTTCCTTAGACGACTCTTTGAATTAAAGTGTAGAACCTTATATTCATCCCAATTTTATTTCACATTATTGGAATCAACCTATTGTTCCAATTTAATTAAGTTTTTTTTATCTTAATTCTGTTGTACGTGTTAACAGTTCTTTTTAGTTTCTTGTAACATGCATACTTGGTAAGCACACCATCCATGCTATCTTCCAAGTCACTGGAAAAATCTCTCAGTGCCCTACTAGTTTTATATGAAGTATAAAGGCATTTCTCTGATGGAATTGGAAAAGTAGCTTGCCACTGGCTAACAAAAGTATGCCCATGAGCCTAATAGCCTTTATTTTTTTTTTAATTAAAAAATCCAATTTCTCTCCTTCCACTTGTTCCACATTGGGCAGTAGGGGGCAGAAGGAAACTTATAACAAATATGGGTAGTTAAGTAAAACAAATTCTGGCACTGGCCATGTCCAAAAAATAGATGTCTCTTTGTGTAACCTGAGTCCATCATTTCTGTCAGGAGGTGAGTAGCATGCTTCATCATGGGTCACCTGGAATCATGGTAGGCCATGTGTTGATCAGAGTTCTCAAATCTTTTAGAGTTCTTTGTCTTTACAATGTAATTATTATAGAAGTTGTTGTAGTTTTGTTTACTTCATTCTGCAAATCACAAATCTTACCAATTTCTCTTCCACTATAGTCATATACCATACTTTGTTCAGCCATTCCCCAGTTAACATAGACACACTTAGTTTCCAGTTCTTCATTACCACAAAAAGAGCTGTAACACATATTTTTGTTCATGTGTAGTTTCTTTTCATTTTTCCTTTATTTGGGAACACAAGCCTAGAAGCAGCATCTCTGGGTCAAAAATTACCACCATTTTGTAACTTCTTAAATATAGTTCAAAATTGCTTTCCAGAATGAATGTTTGGACCAAATTCATAGCTTCGCCCACAGTGAATTAATGTTCCTGTCCTTCTAACATTTATCATTTTCCATTTTTTGTCAACTTTGCCAATGTGATAGGTATGAAATAGCTTAGATTTCTTCCTAAGAAAGCTCTTGGTTCATATTCTTTGACTGAAAACTATCAAACTTGCCATCCTTAGAGGCAGTCAAGATAGTTGAAGCAGGAGGCAGCTTTATGAAGTTCAATCTTTGTATGTCTATCAGAAGGCAGCAGAAGAAGGGAAGCACTCTTTTCTCCTCCTCCCCCAATCCATCAGTCGTGGTGTCTTACAAAAGAACTACTCATCCAATAGGAGTCACTGAATTCAGCAAGGGACAGAGAGTGAAGAACTCTCCAAAGAGTGCTGATTCCTGGTAGCAGAAAAGAGAACCATGAGAAATAAAAAGACTTTGGGGTGCTGAAGTGAGAGGAGTGACTTGCTTTGGCCACATGTATTCCCTATATTTGGGCCTAACTTCCAGGGCAGTTTATATTCCCACTTTTCCCAGTGACATTGTGTGCATATGTGAGAGCATCTCAGGAAAGGTGTTTACTTTGAACTAATTGTATCTAGTGGCTAACTAAAAAAGGTCAGCACACTGGTCAGTGCTTGTGAGCTATAGTTTCAGGAGTCTAGATCCAGAGAGAAACTATGAACCAGAAGTAGTAATTACCCTCTGAAACCACAGGCAACCCTCAGGGGGATCCAACCTGAAAAACTGTGAGTGCCTTGTTGTCGGGGATGGAAATATCTCCTAGAAGCAATGCTGTACATGTATACCCTTCTATAGCTTGTGAATCACACAACTCATCTAATATCTGAAAATCCAAGTTCACCTCTTTGTCCAAACTGACTATCCTTTACCATTCAACTGTAATTCCCATTATCATCAAGATTAAACTTCCATTCCAGATAAACTAGTCCACTTTTCCCCAAACGTGACCCATTCATTCCTACTTCTTCACTTTTGTCAGACTGTCCCATCTTAAAACCCCAAGCAAATGTCCTGCCCACTCTTCTCTACCTTTTGAAATACTACTCCTTCAAACCAAAGTTGAAATCCTCCCTCTTGCTTGATGCAGGACTCCAGCTACTTTGGTACACACACTATTCCTTCTCTGAATTCCAATAGGATCCTATCCTGTTTTACCATTGAATGACACAATTATCTCCTTATCTGTTTGACTTAGGTCTTTCTTATCTGCCCAATGAATTAATAACGTAACATCCTTGAAGAGCTAGGAACATCTCTCATACCATGTTTTTTTTTTATTTTTTTTATTATTCTCTCTTGGGACTATTGTAGGCTGTCAAAAGGAGAGAATATTAGAGGTCATGTGATCTAGCTTACTTCATAAAAGAATCTCCTCTATAATACAATTGACAAATGGTCATCCAACATTTATTTAAACTCTTTCAATAACATGGTATTTTTATACATAGTTATGGTACTGTTATATATAGTTAACACTACCCCTGAGGGTCTCCCCCTCCCAGATTGATTTTTTTAACTAAGTGAAAGAGGCCATTCTCCTCCTCATTTCTTACCTAACCTTAATTACTGAATGAGCATTGCCTTAGTCAAACTGAGACCTGTTAAAGACTTTAGATTAAAAAGGCCAAGGTCTCTCACTGCATCCAGGGCCATCTTCAGTCATCCTGATCTATGTCTTGTCACTGGACCCAGGTGGCTCCAGAGGAGAAAGTGAGGCTGGTGACTTTGCGTAGCCCTCCCTCACTTAAATCCAATTCACTTGCATGTCATGCCATCATCTCCCTGATGTCACAGTCTTCTATGAGAATGAAGGACAAACAACAACTCAGTTCTTTATGAAACTCTTCATTCTTTTTTGAAAATCTTTCAGTGTTGGGAAGTTTTTCCTCATATGTACCATAAATCTTCCTCCTTATAATTTCCACTCTCTGATCCTTGTCCTGAAACCACACAGAGTCAGTCATTCTTCCATTAGACAGCCCTTTAAATATTAAAGATCAGCAATTATGTTCTATGCTTGCCTTTCTCCACAATAAATACCTCCCATTGGTCAACCTTTCTTCTTTTAACATAGTTTTGAGTCCTTTTATCATCATGATTGGCTTCCTCTGAATGTGTTCCAGTTAGTTAACATTTACTTTAAAATGTGGTACCCAGAGCTGAATGAACACAATATTCCAAATGTGATCTGATTAGTGGAGAGTACTACAAAATCACAGCTGCGTCTGTTTTGGACACTATAATTCTATTAATGTAGCCCAAGTTTGCATTAGCATTTTTGACAGCCATATTACACTGTTGGCTGATACTGAGCTTTCAATCATATCAAATCCTTAAAACTTTGCTCACATAAACTGGCTTTAAACCAGGTCATTCCATCCTGTGCAGTGTCTTCTAAAATGACGTGTAGAATTTTAGATCGTTCTCCATTAAATTTCATCTTATTAGATTTGACACATTGTTTCAGCCTGTTGAAGTTTTTTGGGATACTAATTCTGAATTCCACTTAATTAACTATCTCTCCCAGCTTTGTGTCATATGCAAATTTGATAAGCATGTCATATCTTCTTCTAAATCATTGATAAAAAATGATGAGCAGGAGAGAATAAAGGACAGAGCCCAAAGCGTGCCACTAGAGATGTCCCTCCCGGTTGGCATCAGTCCATTAAAGCTACAGTCTGAGTACAGTTGAATAGTTATTCAACAAGATAGAAGTACACTCAGTTGTACTATTATCTAGTCTCCATTTCTTCATCTTGTACACAAGAATATCAGAAAATAATTTGTCAAATGTCTTGCTGAAATCCAGATATGTTTTATTGGTGATAATCCTTTCATCTTCTAGTCTGCTATCGCTAAACAAGAACAAATAAACAAGCAAATGAATAAAAAATAAATAAATAAAAGAAGACATTAATTTGCTATGACTTTTTTTGTGAACCCATTTAGTTCTTGGTGTTTACTTTTCTCCCTTCTGAGTCCTTGCAGATAATACATTTTATGATCTATTATGGAATATTTCTAGGGATTTATATCAAACTCATTGGTCTATTCTATATTTTTTCTACTTTTAAATAATTGAGACAATATTTGTTCATTTCTAACACCTCTTATATTTTTTCAAAAATTTCTCAATGACTATCAAGAGCAGTTATTATATCTGCAAATTTTCTTCTTAGATTGAGCTATCATTCACTAGTAAGGCAGTGTTATATAGTGAACCAGGTGCCAGCCTTAATGTTCAGAAGTGCTGGGCTTGAGTCCCACCTCTGACACATGGTGGCTGTGTAACCCCAGAGAAGACACTTAACTTCTCAACATCCCAGGATGCTCTCCAAGATTGTACCTCAAGGAGAACTTTTAGATCTTCATTGGTAGAATAAGTCTCCTTTTTGGGAGTTCCCTACATCAATGAAATAAAAGGTAAGCACAAACATAATCATTGCCATCACTTAAGTTGTCTTCTGGGCTTTAATTTCCTCTTAACCATGTTGTCTTCACCCTTTTCAAATTGAAGGTCATTCTTCTCAATAGAGAAAACAGAAACAAAATAGAAGTTGAAGAGCTGTACTTTGTCTATGCCAAACATTACACCACCTGCCTTAAGTTATGCGGCTGTCCTTTCTTTATTCTTCTTTCTCTGAAAATAAACTTAAAAGTTCCTATTGTTTCTTTTGGCATTTTTTTTCAGTCCTCAACTTGTTCTAGGCATTAGTCTTCTGGAAACCCTTCTTACAAACCCATCCCTCAATTTTGAATTTGTCATTGGTTTAAAATCTGAGCTCATTGGTGGCCTCCCTATGAAACCACACATCTTGTAGTTTTTTTCTTTTTTTTCTTCCTCACTGCAGTAGATAGCAATTACATTAGGAGAATTCTGTTTCAAAAAACTTTCTCATCCCTCTTCATCCAGTTTCCTTTTTAGAGTTTGAAGCCATGAAATCATGTCTCTTACTTCTCTGAACTTTTTGAAATTTCTTTTCCTAAAGTATGAGGATATTTGATTGATTCTAAGCAATCTGCTGGGATAGACAGGGTGGAATGGGATCGCTTTGTATACATAAGTGTATAAGTGCAGCCAGTCCTGAAAAGAGTGGGCAGGGAAGCTGTGTTATCCAAAGGGAATTAGGTCTCAGTTAGTACAGGGAAAAGGAAGGGGTAAGAAAGTAAGAGTTTTAAGAGAGAAGCAAGTTTGTTTGTTTTTTTTTTTATAACCTATAAAGCAGGCATTCCAGAGAACACAGTTGGAGGGGTAGGCAGATTTGGAATGGGGTTTGTGGGTTTGAGGGAGGGATAGTTGTATTGAGGATAGAAGTGAGGGAGTGGGCAGTGGAGGGGGACATAGAATGGTATTTGTACAATGATAGATGGGGATTCAAAGTCACTGGGAAAAGTAGGATATGATGGGGTGAAAGTACGTTAATTACTAAAGAAGAAATTCTGATAGGTTATCATCATCCCTAAAGGAATAGGTATGGAGATGGGGCAGGTTGGTAGTGCAGAGTGAGCAGTGAGGCTGGACGTGCTCATGATATAGAGGTTGTGGTCAGGGTCTTCACTAATCATTAAGTCAGCCTCAAAGTGGAGTTGTCCCTAAGCATCAGGCAACTGGTCTATAACTAAAAGGGGAGGGTGGAAATGGTGTGGGGAGAGTACCCATGTAGGAGCAAGGCAAACCAGTGTGTTGTGGGAAGATAAAGTGAGAGGTGAGTAATGGAATGGCTGGCTCAAGCAAAGCACCTCCCTCAAAAAATTGGTTAAATAGGTTGATATTGCCTCAAATGAACACTACATCTTATTTTTCTATGTTTCGTGGAAAAGAAAACATAATGATAAGGGCGCACTATGATAGGTAGATAGTCCTGGTCACATAACTAGTTAGGACTGGGCCTATATAAGTGTTAAATATACTTTTCAAATTGAGTTGAATCGAATCCTGCTTCTCTCCCCATCCAGCTTTTACCACAGCTCCCACATCCTTCTTCAAAACACACATGCTTATTTGTGACCTTAAAAACACTCCAGCGGAGGGCAGCTAGGTGGCGCAATGAATAGAGCGCTGGCCTTGGAGTCAGGAGGACCTGAGTTCAAATCCAGCCTCAGATGCTTAACACTTACTAGCTGTGTGACCTTGGGCAAGTCACTTAACCCCGATCACCTCACCAAAAAGCAAAAAAACAAAAACACTCCAGCAGCTAAGAATCCAGTGAATTGTACGTTGTTGTTTTTCGTAGATACCTTGATGACTTTTAACTTCTGTCTCTAAATCTTTGGCCAATGATACTGACAGGTGGGATGAAGGCACCCTTGTGACTGCTTCAATGCAGTCTGGGGCTGAGGGCCATGCCTGTACAATATCAGTCCAGAGAGAGAAGTGCGTAATAAATTCCTTCCTTCCTCTCTGACTGTTCCATCAGTCAGTGAAAAGATGAATGTGCACTTACTGGGAGCCAAGTATTGTTTTGATTGGATTCTTTGTAACCACCAGAATACCACTAAGCAGAGGTTGGAGGTGGGAGGGGAAACCAAACATGGTCTCGATGACTCTGCAACACTGAAGAAATTGTGATTCAATGTGACAAAATTACTGAGGAACAACGCTTATCCTGTGCAGCCTTAAATGGAAGAACTAGGAGATTGGAGGAAAATGTGGTCTAAACAAAAGGCAAAGCCTCCCAATAACGAGATTGTCCTGAAGTGGAATAATAGGCTGCCTAGAAGATTCTGGCAGTCATCTGGCTGAGGCTGGGTTGACAGTGGCTGGAGATGTTGTGGGAAGAATTTCTGCCTTGGCTCCCGTTAGATGGCAGCTATGATGTGTGCAAAGAACACTGACTTTGGAATCAGGTGCCCTCTGTTTGAAACCTTTGTATCTTACCACTACACCTCTCTCATCTTGTTTCCTCCTCCTGAAAAATGGAGTCAAAGTACTGAGAGCAAATTTTGCCTTGGACACTTAATAGCTATATGTTGCTAGTCCTAAGGTTCCTTTGACCTCTAAATCTATGATCCAATGAACTAAGTAATCTGTAAGATCCTTTCCAGCTTTAAATTCCTTTATTTCAGACGTCACTTCCGATTCTGATTCTGTAATTTTTGCTCACCATAATGCCACAATCTGGGATTTTGTTTTGGTAATCTGCTATTTTCTTCATATGGATAATTTGATATGAGGTTAAGTTCTGACTGACCCCAGGATTCCTCCCCTCCTACAGTGCATTCCAGCACAGCAGACCTGCTGGAATTTTTTGAAGAACAGGTGACAATCAGCAACGAGAACATCCGAGTGGGAACGTTCTCTTTTTTAAGATCTGCCATCTATGCTGATGGTAAGTAAGAGAAAATTGAAATTTGAAAGGCTTCTTTTAGATCCAGAAGCTTGCCACAAAATTTAACATACTCCCTTATATTCTATTCCATTAAGATAAGGATTTATTTTTATCATTTCATGACTCTAATGTTATTGCACTTCTAATTCTTGGCTTCTTCAAAACATACATTTTGGGGCAGCTAGGTGGCGCAGTGGATAGAGCACCGATCCTGGAGTCAGGAGGACCTGAGTTCAAATGTGACCTCAGACACATAATACTTACTAGCTGTGTGTACCTGGGCAAGTCACTTAATCCCATTGCCTAGCCAAAAAAAAAACCAAAAAACAAACAAACAAAAAAAAAACCATACATTTTCATTTCACTTGTTCTTGTGTCATGTTCACAGAAAATTGTTAGATGGCTAGTGAGAGCTTTGCTTTTCCTCCATAAAGACCTATTTTCTTTTAGAAACCATCCCTCTCTCCCACTCACTTCCTTTGCTCAGTCCAGCCTAGCATCCTCCTCATTCTGACTCCTGACCCCATCCCTACATCACTGCAGAGCCTGCTACTGCCCCACCCCATTCCCCAAGCAAGTGTAACCCAGCACCTGTTGACCGCTCCTCTCCACGCAGATCCAACCATGTTCTCTGCATGTCTGTATGATGCATTTCCATTTGGGTAGAATAGTTTTCAAAGCAGATGTGGGATTTTCACAAGTCTGAGCATCAATTGTTTGTTGACAGTTGACACTGGCAAACACCAGCTGAAAAAAAAAAGTTGCTGCCCCTGCGATAGCTATTGCTGATTACAAGTCATTGAATAACTTTTATATAACCGTTTTCAAAGCACTTTTACATATAGTATCTTGTTGAATCGTCATAATGGCCCTTGAAGGAAGGCAGGATTGTTATCTCTATTTCACAGATGATGATATTGAGGCTCAGAGAGACTTCCCAAGAGCCCACATTTGAATGAAATCTAGAAATGGAGGAAAGGCTCAGGTGATGAAGAGCGTTAAATGTTAATCAAAGTACTTTATATTTGATCTTGGAGCCATAATTAGGAGTCAGGTCTTCTTACAAGCTGATCATGTATTGAAGTATATGATAAGAATGCAGAAGGACAGAATTCATTAGAGAAATAGGTAGAACAAAAGAGGATAAAAAAAAGGAAAGGAAGGAAAAAAAAACTTGTAAGCATTTAATACAATGGGGAGTGCAAATAGCCAGTACCAAGCAAAGTCAGGGGTAGCAGTGTGATTGTTTAAAGAATTAAATAAGAGGGGGCAGCTAGGTGGCAGCTAGGTGGCACAGTGGATAGAGCACTGGCCCTGGATTCAAGAGGACCTGAGTTCGAATGCAGCCTCAGACACATAACACTTACTAGCTGTGTGACCCTGGGCAAGTCACTTAACCCCCATTGCCCAACTAAAAAAACAAACAAAAACAAAACAAACAAAGAATTAAATAAGAACCAGATTATATTCAAATGAACAGATCATGTGCAGAACCACACATAAAGTAACCCCCTTCCCCCCCCAAAAAAACAGCTGAATGAGATGGCATTAGGGACTGTGTATGATTTGGGGATGAACTTTAGAGTCATTGAAAAGACAAGGGGCTAATTTTTTTTTCCAACTGCAGCCTATTTATTGCTGCCAAATTAGGCATAAATCATATATTTGAAATCATGTAGCATATAGTTATGGGAACTTAACAAAAAAATTAACCACTAAGAGGAACCCAAAGGAATAAAAGCAGTCATATTGCCCAGCAGCATCTACTGACATGCATTGATGATACCACACTTTAAAAGGATTAAGAGAAATTGAGAATGGGTTCAAAAGATAACAACCAAAATAAGTGAAAAGTTGGGTAACTAAAACTAGAGAAGATGGCAGTAACAAATATTACTTTTGATTTTAGAAAAGGAGACTGTGATTATTTTCAAATCTGAGTTCTCTTGAATCTCCGAATAGTTTAGGCTTCTACTTACTAGTGCCTGTCTGTCTTTGTGTTTTTCAGAGCCCAAATTGAGGGATTATATTACTATGATTGAAAGGACAGTCAAACTTGTCATGGATGATTACAGTGTAAAAGTAAGAGGTTGGGTGGGATATTTTGTTTGCTTGTCAGAAGAGGAATGCATGAAATGGTCATGAGACTCTGAACTGTAAATGAGAATGACAAAAAGAACAGTGTCAGAAGCACAGTGCCCAAAATCCAATTCACCTTTTTCTTAAAAAAAAAAACATTCCATAAAACTTAAATTCTATAGAGAGGAAACAGAGCTCAGAAGGAAACATGATGGAATACATTTGGATTAATCATGTTACTGAGTCATTTCAATTGTTAATAAATTGCCTACTACTTTTCCTAACACATGTTCAGAATTTGATTCAGAAGTTAGTACTGGGGGCAGCTAGGTGGCGCAGTGGATAGAGCACCAGCCCTGAAGTCAGGAGGACCTGAGTTCAAATATGACCTCAGACCAAATACTTGACACTTACTAGCTGTGTGACCCCGGGCAAGTCACTTAACCCCAATGGCCTAAAAAAATAAAAAAAAAATTTTTTTTAATTAAAAAAAAGAAGTAAGTACTGAAGAAATCTCTAAAAACGAGACATTAAAATTTTCTCCTTAATATTTAGTGAAGAAACTTTTATTCTTTGTTCTTATCATAAATAGAATAAAGTACCTTGTGGATAGGAGGTGCTCAGATAGTGGCTTGATGGATGAAGACCTCAACTATAGAAAATATAAGGCCTTATACTAGGCTACATTAGGTGAAAGTAGTACATTAAAACCCCCAGATTACCTATGCACCAAAATTCTTCTGAGAGCCTTTAGCAACCAGCTTCTTCCCTGTATATGGTGACTGCTTTTAAAATAACCATAGATGGTCCATAAATAGTTATTGCTTCATTGACTCCACACAGTGGTCAGGTATGGTGAGTAGCCAGGTTATGTTTCATGGAATAAAGATCAAAGAGAGTTCTTGGGCAGAATTTGGGACCAAAGGAAGATTCACCGAATCCTTGAAGGAAAAGCTGATCCAAGGAGAAATTGTAAGTTATAGGATATTATCCCAGCTCCTCTTTCTGTGCCTAGCATTCTTATGCTGCCTACTGCAGTATCCTGGCTGGTCTTGCCCTCCCTTGTTGGTATTCTATGCTCAAATATTCTCCTGCTGTCCTCCACAAGTACTCAGATTTCAACTGGCTGAGAGGAAAGCAACCAGATAAACTAATTCACTATTATGTAGTAAATGTCTGATAAGATTTGAGCATGCTACTACTACTCTAAGCATTTGTAAAGAAGAGGCAATATTTTATCCTGCAAAGAAAGTATTTTCTAGTCATAGAATTCCAAATGATATGGCAAGGGGGAATTGGCATTGAGGGATACAAAGAGGCCCTGCTCTCAAATAGCATTCTAATGGGGGGAAAGCATATGATACACAAAGCAGATGAAAGTAGGGGACCAGAGGGACCAGGAAAGGGCTTCTATAGCAGACAGACTTTGAGTTAGGTCTTGTTGGAATCCAGAGAAGCCAGGAGGGAAGGGTGTGGAGAAAGAGCATTCCAGGCGTGAAGGACAACCAAAAAGGGACTGAGATGACTTATAGAGGGTCATGTTTGAGGAATAGCAAGTAGCATTTTCTCACTATATAACTTTTGAAGAAAACTTTGAGTGACTCAAGAAAGTAAAAGAAATCAAGTCTTGTTCCATCCAACATCATAAATTGTGTACGTTTCCATTACTCTAGGTGAGGATTTCCACTCTCCTTCTCATCCAGAGCATGTGTGACAAGGGCTACCTGGAAGCAAGTGAAGGGTGGGAACTGATTGAATACATCTTCTTCCAGTTTGCATTTTCCAGATGGAATTTGGTAGGATTCCAAGCACTGCGGTTTCAGTTTATTAATGGGCCAGAGCTTATTACAGTAACTGATTCATCATTTATAACTGAATCTCCTCCACCCCCAAAAAATAAACATCTTAATAAAATAACTGAAGCTTACTATAAGCTCTCTGAGATTACAATTGGACCCTAGCTGACTGATGATTCTCTGGTCTAGTGCTGTGTAAGAAAGACTACAGACAAAATAGTTTAAATTCAGGTTTTTATCTGTTTCAATAAAAACCATTTTCTTTTGTTCTCTAATGTCTTTTCACCACACAAACAAAAAAATCAAGAAATCTATGTCCTTGAGTGGACAGATTGATACAATCTTCTAGTCTGTTATAAGAAAAAGATCAGACATAGCTAAGCTTGCTGAGTGGGCAACACCCACTTCTTCTGGCCTTGGTTTGAGCATCAGAGAGAATGGTGTGTATATATATATATAATTTAACCACTTCTCTATGCCCAATTTTTGATTATATGGTAAATCTCATAATGCTAATGATTTGTCAGGGATATCATAGGAGGAATTCATTCTTCAGGTTGGACTAGATGACCTCCCAAGTCCCTTTCAATTCTGGGATTCCAATAATTCTCTCATTCTATGGAGAAATGCCACAAAATTTCCAATATAGAAGGCTCAGCATAAAAAGGCATGTATCAGATAATGATATTATTTTTTAGCCAAGTGGGTATCAGGCATTGGGGATGAGGTCCTATATCTACAAAACCATCCATGACTCTTCAATTTTTTCAAACCTAGTCTAAATTCTTGACCAAGTATATCCTCCACCAAAGCTTTGCCAAAGTGAAAGACAGTTTAAAGGATCTGATTTTTAGCAAGTGACCAGTTTTGTCTTTCTTAAAGGTGGATCCAGAAAAGTCCACCATCCAGGAGAATTTAATGGCAGAAAATTCTGTCCTAGAAATGGCCCTCGAAGTCCTACAGGGATTGGACCCACTAGTTAATGGAATGCCTCAAGTAAGTAATCTCTCATTGTTGTCCTTGGGCTAGAGATTAAACATTTTTTTGGTGGGCAAACCCCTTTTGTGTGGACTGAGCTATTATGGACAGTTCAACTCATCTGGACATATAGGAACACTTTCATCTTCTATCTGGTGAGCCATAATCTGAGTTTCTGTCCTGAAGTAAGTGGCCACATTGATGTTGGAATCTTGGATCTGATTTTAAAGTGAATAAAAGCAGCTTAGTCACCTAATTTACCTTAATCCCAAAGCCCTTCTTAGCATTCTCTGAGTCCTACCCACTAGTAGGCTTTCTTCTTCCTTTACTTATCTCATCTAGATCCTTCTCATTGTTGCCTATAGATAACTGATCTACTAATTTGACAAACTGAGGTGACTCATTTAATCAAAATAGATATTAATTGGCAATAGATGATTCATCCATTCAATATTTCAGCATTTCTTTTTGTGTGTATGACACTTGTCAGGGTTCTTTGAATCTCTTCTCTCTTTCACTCTCAAATTTCTTGAAAAAAGCAGCTCAACACCTAATGTCTCCACTTGCTCATCATTCTTCAGCCCACTCTTTTCTACCTTCCCTCTCCACAGTCCTTTAAGGCTGTTCTCTCTAATAGCACTTCCCAGCCATCATTGGACCATGCCTCCTGTACTTAGACTACATAATCTTCTCTTTCTCCCTACTGGGACCATGAACTCTGCTCTTGGAACCACCTTGGACTCTAATTGGTGAACTCTCACCATCCTCCCTGAAGCCAGGCCTCCACCTCATTTCCCAGCCATCATGCTCCTGTGTGCATACTGCACCTCCCCCTTCCCATCTTCACTTTATGTGCTATCTTCCTTCCAAACTCCGTGATGTCAAAAAATGACTCATTTACATGAATTTGTATCCTAACTCTTAGCACAATGCCTGACACAATCAGAAATTAATAAATGCTTTATCTATGTGATATCATCAGCAATTCCTTCACTGACATTTGATACTGTATAATGCTCTTCCTTACTCATACTCTGTCCTCTCTGGCTTCCACAACAAAGTATTCTCCAATTTCGCCTTCTGCTATTCTATCTGTCCTTTCTCTGCCTTTTTTACTGGCTCTTCCTCTTCTTCCTCCTCCTGGCTCTTTGAAATTCCCTAAAGTTGTGTTCCTGTAAACATGACTATCTGCACCTGATCAAAAATCCCTTCCACATTTTCTCTCATCAAGTGGCCATTCAGCCTTCCCTAACAGACCTTGAGTGAAGGGAAACTCACTCCAAAGGCACCCTATTCCACTTGGGAATAGCTTTAATTATTATGATTTTTTCCCATACATGAAGCCTAATTTGCCTTTCTGAAACTTTCATCCATTGATCCTAGTTTGTAGCCCTCCTTCTACTCCAAGACAGCTATTAGACCTCCCCTGAGTCTTCTATAATCCATGCAATGTTTCTTTAAATGAAGCCTGAGAGTATTAGAATTTCTCACTGCCATATCACACTGTGGAGACATTATGACCTTGTGTCCACCAACATTGCAGAGATTCTTTTTTCTCAGATTAAAAGTTGTCTAGTCCCTACTTGTTCATATGTACTTAGAAAGTTGACATTCTGGACCCAAGGATAGGACTATATTCAGCCCTATTAAATTTAGCATTATTAGATTTGGTCCAAGGTTGTAGTTTAGGGGTAGGGAACCTATGATTTCAAGGCCACATGTAGCCTTCTAGGTCCTCAAGTTCAGCCCTCTGACTGAATCCAAACTTCACAGAATAAATCCTCTTACTAAAAGGATTTATTCTGTAAAACTTGGACTCAGTCAAAAGGCTGCTCCCAAAGATCTAGAAGGCCACATGTGGCCTTGAGGCTGTAGGTTCCCCACCTCTGTTCTAGTCTGTCAAACTATTTTTAGAATCTTATTCTGGCATCCAATGTGTTCTTCATAGCTCATGTAATTTTCAAACTTGATTAGCATGCCATTCTTCATTCAAATATTTATTAAAGTATATTAAATAAGGAAGGAACTGATCTTTGGATTATTTGCCTCAAGATGTGCTTCCATGTGAACTTCAAGTTATTAATAATTAATCTTTTGGTCCAATTATTCAATGAGGTCCGAATCTACATAGGTGTGTCATCAGCTAACCCACATGTCTCCATATTGTCCACAACAGTATTATCAGAGACTTTTTAAAATTCTTGACTGAAATTATAACTACAGCATTCTACTACTCTAAAAGTCTAATAAGCCTGTCAAATAAATAAAATGAAGCCAGTCTGCTATGACTTGTTCTTGATTAATTCATACTGGTCCCTTTTGTTCACAGCTCCCTTTTCTAGATGTTCACTAACCATCTGTTTGATAATACATCCTAGAATTTTACCAGGAATACAAGTAATACCTAGTGGAATAGAGTTAACAAGTTGCATTTTCTTACCTCCTTTTTTTTTAAATTGGGACATTTGCCCTTTTCCAATCTGTAGTATCTCTCTTTTAAAAATAATGTCTATTTTTTTATTTTTCTGACCTTGATAAACATGAACTCTTCCCTATAAAAAGAATAGCAAAGAACACAAATGAAATCATGAATCTCTATTAATACAGCTTGCATTTTTAAAATTCTTTCACACATTCAACACGCTGGTTTCAAAGCTGTCCTGTTTATCTGTATCTCTTCCTGAGCTTCCTGTTCTTGTCTATGCACAAAAAAGAAAAGAAAAGGAAAAGGAAAGCTTCAACAATCTCCCTGTTTTGACATCAGTATTGTTAGACCTCTCTCATATACATCTACCCTTCCCTCTCCCCCTGAAAAAAAAACTTTGGAAAAAATAAACACAGTGAAACAAAACAAAACAGTGAGACTAGAAAAGGATGGACAAATTGAAATATTGCAAGAGCAAAATCAGTAGGATTTGTGCTACTACCTGATTAATAAAGGGGAAAAGTAGGAACAAAAGATAGCTGCAAAGTTTCAAGCTTCAAGACAAAGTCCCTTCTTTTCTGTGAAGCCTTCTCAAGTCACTCAGACCATAATTATATCTCCTTCCTCTGAACTCCTGTGGTGCTTATTATATATGACCCTCATTTGGCTCTTAGTATGTGTAGTGCTATTGTTAGAATTCTGGCCCTTGCTTCTGGAGGTTTTAGGCCCTCAAAAGGCCTCCCAAAAAAAATCAAAGAAAGTGAAGATTTTTATCTCTGCAACTGGAACTGATCCATATTTTGGTAAGTGACTCCAAAAATCTGCCAGAGTTATATGGGACCTCTTGCAGAAACCTAATCAGAGTATTTTACTGTTTTCAAACACAGATAACAGAAGGTTTGTGGGTAGATAAGGACAATTCCCAGTCCCAGAGGGACAAAATTCACCTGTATATTGTGAATATTTTCCTGGTGATGTTTTAGATGGCTCAAAATCATGGAGTACTACAGTCTCAGAAGACTAAAAATTGCAAGTACCCTAAGGAGAGGGAGAGGTCTATGTTGGGTATACATAGGTTGCAATATATAACAATGATGACTTGTGTATAAAATGTGGCATGAAAGATATTACCAAGGACCTCTAGCAAGAAAGTAAAGGATAGCATGAACAATAAAGGATAGACAGTTCAAGAGTTATGCTAGTAGCCACAATGTATATATTTGTAAATAAGAATCTTTTTGTATATGAAGGTATGGATGGGCTGTTGATGAAATCAAATCCATTAGATTATTAAAATATTCCATATTTCTGTACAACAAAAGAATGTAGACATTCTTACATTCTCTTGGAATTTGTTATAACTCTGCTTGACAGAATCCAACACAAATTTTCTAAATAAAATAGTTGTAAAATCCTAATTAAGCTTTTTTTCCCATTAAGCAAATATTTCTCTTTAAAAAAAAACCCTCTAGGGGAAGCTAGGTGGTGCAGTAGATAGAGCTCCAGCCTTGGAGTCAGGAAGACCTGAGTTCAAATCTGGTTCAGACATTTGACACTTACTAGCTGTGTGGCCCTGGGCAAGTCACTTAACCCCAATTGCCTTACCAAAACAAAAAAAAAAAAAACCAAAATAACAACAAAAAAAACTCTTCCAAATGTGTTTTATTTATTTTATTTTATTTTGTTTCATCTTATTTATTTATTTATTTTTAAACACCATTACAAAAGCAGCCAATTTTGAAGGGTCTGATAGGAGATCAGAATATTTTAGAAATATTTTCAGCACTGTTTTACAATGTGACTCATATTGAAAAATACGCTTCAAAAATTTAAACAATTAGGGTAATATGACTGTTTGCAACATGGATTATTTTCAAATAATCCATATATTTGCAGTTATCACTATCTTTGAAACATCTCTTGATTCTCTTGCATCACTTTCATTTCTTTTCTCAAATTTTCTTTTGTCTCTTTTATTTGATCTTTTAAAATCCTTTTTGAGCTTTTCCAAGAGTTCTTTTTGGTCCTGAGACCAATTCACATTTTTCTTTGAGACTTTACATGTACCTGTTTTGACATTATTATCTTTTTCTGAGTTTGTGTTTTGATCCTCCTCTGTCACCATAATAACTTTTTTTTTGTTTTTTGCTCATTTTTCCAGCCTATTTTGTGACTTTTAATTTTATGTCAAAATTGGGCTCTGCTCCTGGGATGTAAGTGGTACTATCCCAAGTTTCTTACACTGGAGGAATGGGGTGTTGCCCCTAGCCTGCTGTGTGAACGGCACAGAGCACTGTCCTGACCTGCACTAAGGTTCAGGTCCCCAAAGCTGGCTTGCTGAGGTATGGCCTACTACTGACTTGCCTGGACACTACCTGCACTGGATTGCACTCTCCTTAACCTGAGTGAGACAGACCTTTCATGTTGACTTTCTGAGTTATCTTGAGCAAGAAAATGTTTTCACCCCATCTTTTTGTTGGTTCTGCAGCTCCAGAATTCATTTTGAGGGGTTATTTCATAGTTGTTTGGATTTGAATTTGGGAGAGTTCAGGTCAGTTCCTGCCTTATTCCACCATCCTGGCTCCACCCTTTGCTTTGAAACATTTCTTAAGGACTCTTCTTTCGGTATACAATTCTGTGAGAACAAGGAGTGTGTCTTTTATACTTTATGCTTCAAACAATAATTTAATATGGGCCTAATATGCAAGGTACTGCCCTTGGTAGTGAAAGAATTAGAAAAATAAGTGAACAATCTAAGCTCAAAAGGCTAATTCAATCAACAATCACTTATTGAGGATGATTGTTAGTGTTACATATTTATGTCAATTCCCTGTATGTTTTGGCTAACAGACCTTTATTGGTGATTTTCCCACTTTCACATTTCTTTTCCGATTCTATCCTCACTGATTGTCTGAGATTAAAATAAAAAAAAGTCAGAACAGTCTGTGTTGGAAGGGTTGTGGGAAGATAAATATACTGATGCACTAATGGAAGATCTGTGAAGCGGCTTAACTGTTCTGGATTTCAGTTTTGGAGAAATGCAAATAAAAGTAATTAAACTGTCTATACATCCCCAAATATTTGAAAACTATAAATAAATGACCACATTTTAAAAATGTTCCAAATCACTTATGGTAAGTGAAGCACAAATTAAAACAACTTTTAAGTTTTACCTCACTCCATCCAAATCTATGTTTTAAAAGGATTATTTTGTTAAGTGGAAGGGATGGAAAGAGACTAGAAGAGTAGAAGCAGGGAGCCTAGGTAAGAACTATTGCAATCCAGATTCAAGGTTCAGTGTGAAATAATGAGACACTGGACGACAATGGTGGTGCCATGGGGAAGTGAGAAAGGAAAGAACTCATTAGAGAGACAAGAATTGTCTAGACAGTGATTTATCAGATATGGAAGAGAAGAAACAGAGGAAGTCCAAATGAATACAAAGTTGAAAGTCTGGATAGAACCATTTGTGAATTTGGACTTTTATGGTTTTTTCCAGAGACCTAGGCTAAGCTGACAGTCAAGGTTCCTAACCTGTAGAGCTGAGAGATCCCCTTGGGTCCATCAAGAGAGCAATAGAGACAGAAAAAAGTGAATGCTAATGAAGCTTTCTAACATGAAAGGAAGCAAACCATAAATAGAGACAAATGGAAAAGTATAGCCTAGCCTTGATCTCTTACACTATCTTTTCTACAGGTGCTATGGCCAAAACTCCTGACTTTTGTGGTGCCAATGGAATATACTGGAGTTCTGCCCTATCTGTTTAATATCCTTAGGATCCTGCTGATGGCAGAGGAGAAGAAGCAGAATGTTGATGAGTCAACAGCTCTTGTTGTCTCTGCTGGACCAGGTTTGTACTTAAAACACACACACACACACACCCCTTCTGTTTCTCTCTCTTCATAGATACACCCCAAGAAAGAGCATGGTTCTTTCATGTTATCCAACTAAATTCAAGAGAAAATATGCTCTGAATCTAATCAGAATCATCCTTGTCCCTCTAATACTACTATTTAATTTCTCTTTCTAGTGAAACTTCCGTCAGCCCAACAGCTGCTGGCCAGACTTTTGGTGAGTGCGGTTTAACAAAGCAGGGGAGGAACATGTGGGGAAAACACTGGGAAGGAGTTCAAGGAAGTGGCTTTAAATCTCAGGTCTGTTGCCTATACTATGTATGGGACCATGGGGAAATCATTTAACCTTTCTGGACATTCATTTGATCCCTTGAAAAAGAAAGGAAGAGAATTAGATGGTCGCTAAAATCTCTTTCAGTTTTAAATCCATGACTTCACAATCCTACATGGATATAAGCATCTGTACCAAATTAATTTCGTTTGGTGTTACATAAATAGAATTGTCATTTGTACCAATAACACTGATTAAGAATTATTGTATCTATAGCCTAGTCAAGAGTGATGGGATCTTTCTCTCATCTACTTAATTAGTTTCACCTATAATAAATTAAGTTGCTCTACATAATTCTTATTTCAGGGTTTCATCATGGTGACCCTGGGATTACCAAGGCTATGGCCAGTGGAGTGCAAACCCTGGCAGGTGCCACCAAACTTGAAAGGCTTTGCTTCAGGGCTTTGTGATAAGAGTATGAGCTTGGCATCCTTGTACCCAGCCACCTGAACCTAGATAAGCTATGTTTATCACCAGAGGATTGACTACCAAGAGGGGAATGGGTGCAATCATGATAGCTCATGAAGACTTTCTCCTAAGGCATAGATTTGAATCTGTGGAAAGAGGATCCACACCAATGAAATCACAGATCCTTGAAGTGATAGGAAGTATTAGTGAACAGTATAGGATGACTACTAAAATAAATCAGTTAAGAACTCCAATCATGCTCATCATATCTCCAGAAGACTGATGGTAAAAAATGAGACCCACCTACTGGCAGGTGACAGGTTCAATATGCAGAATGAGACACATCTGGGGACACAATGTGGAAATTTGCTTTACCAAACTATGCGTATTTATTGCAAGTTTTTTTTTTTTTGCAATGTGGTTGTGAGAAAGAAGTGAGAAGGGAAGGGAACAAGCATTTTTTAAGCATCTACCATTTGCCAGGCACTGCACTAAGTGCTTTACAAATATTATCTCATTCTATCCTCATAACAACCTTATGAGATAAGTATCATTATTATTCCCATTTTACAGTTGAGGGCACTGAGGCAGACAGAGGTTAAGTGCCTTGCCCAGGGTCACATAGATAAAAAATTCCTAAGACTAGGTTTGAACTCAGATATTCCTGACTCCAGGCCCAGCGTAGGGGCAAAGGGGTGAGGAGTGAAAGAAAGAGAAAATTATTATTAGTTGAAAAAATAAAATAAAAATTCCAAAAATAAAGTAAATCAATATCCTCACAAGCAGTTGGCTGGTTCCCCTCTGCTGCTGGTCAGCTCTCTCACTGAAGGATGTGTTTTCTGTTATATATCTAGCATCAGTTTCTCAGATGCCCTTTTTCAAGTATAAAAAGTAGATAAGTGATGATGACTCCCAGAGTAATTCACATTTGCATTTTTCCTTTTTTGATCCTAGTAATTCAAATCAGTTCAAAAATACTTTTAAGGAAAACTCTGTACTAGGCACTAGGGACATAAAATCAAAAAAGGAAAAAAAAAACAATCCCTTCCTTCACATTGCCTACATCCTACTAGAAACTTTCATAGTCCTATTGGGAGGGAAAAAGAAAGGAAGGTGAAACTAGATTGACTGTTAATTGATTGATATTTCTCCTTTGAGTAATTCCTTGGCAAGAGGAAAGATCAGACATTAGAATTTAGGAGAATCCAAAATAGAATTTATGATGAAAAGCAGATGGACATGCTAAAAGAGAACCATTATAACCATTTTCTTTTTCCCATCTGTAGGTGATTTCTGTCCTGGCCAGTGAGGGACTACCATGTGGGGCTGCAGCAGTAGGTCTTTTAAAGAACCTGTCCAGTATAATCCACCCAAACCTGATAGAACTGTGGAAAGAACTAATCCCTGATCTGCTTCTCCCTTTGGGAGGTACAGAGGAAGTGGGGTCAGATTTACATTTAGAGAAAAAAAGAACTCAAAAGAATTCAGCATCATGTGCTGAACTGTAAAATAATCTTATTACTTTTATATAATAATATCACTGGATTTTTATGTGAGTTGAATGAATCCAATTGTTTCTACTAATGGTTCCACATTCCTCTTTCTCTGGGGATAAGTTGCCTATTCACAGGAAGGGAAAGGTCTGTATTTCTACTGTTTTCTTCTGTATTTGAGGGACTTGATTTCAGCATCCAAGGAAGTGGTAATTGAAGGAGACAGGAAGAAGCCATGGTTATAATAAAGCGCTCCTATCATGATGCAGATAACAAGGTCATTTTTATGGTCCACAGAGAAAATAAGAAAGGAAATAAGAAACCCTGGGTTGTGATTTGGATAGAGGTTTTCTTTCCACCTGACCAACATTTCAAAATTTACCAAATTGATATTATTTGAGAAGCTGTTCTTAAGCAAGGAGGAAGGTGTAGAATGAATTACAGTGTTCACTGGGTGAAGCTGCCTGGCTAGCCAAGACCCCTTCCACCTCCACCAGAGGAAAGAACTGGGACGCACAGACATAAAAAGACAAAATGGCTCTTGGTTCCATAAGTGCAGTTCCTGAGCGCCAGAAGAATTTTACCAACCCCTATTTGTATGCATAACAAACGTACTCACGACAGATATATTCAAAAATGCCCTAAGGTCAGCTTACTTTAGAACACTGCATTTACAAAAGGCTTCAGATACACTTGTCCTAGAAAAAAGGGATCCAATCCCCTTCAAAGAAACCCCCTTTCAGGGCAAGAATTTTAATCTAGAAATAGCCCCATTCCCTTTCATTGACTTTTATAACAGGTTTTTCCCCCCTGAGTTTAGGTTGAATTGAAAAAAAAAGAATCATAAATACTGAAAAATATAAATGAATTTTTCATGCCCCCAGTTATGACAACATTCAAAAGTTACCCAAGTCAGTGTGGAATCCTGACAAAATTGGACAAATCCGGATTGGGTTTCCTGGGTACTATGGTGTGGTCCAGATCAAGACTAAAGGAGACCTAGGTCAAGTCACCAACCATGACAAAATCTATGTCCTTCCTTTATTCTTTGTTTTAACATCAACATCTAAGCTCCCCCTAAGTATGAGCTCCCTTCATTAGATATAAATAAGCCACTATGGTGGGGCATTGGAAATTGTGAATCTGCTCTAATTGTGATTACCTTGCAGTCATTGAATCAACTTCTTTTTTCTAGGAAATTGTTATAAAGTCACACTGTGGGAGGAAATGTTGCTGGAGGTAAGTGGGGTTTGGCTTTTAGTTAGAATGCTAGAGATTTTCAGGTGAAATCAGGTAGAAATTAATATTTACACAAGAGAATTCAAATCCAAAGGGCAAAAAGTGGGTGAACTCCCATCTAAAAAAAATGTAATTCCATAGGATGTGACATCAAATCTTTCACAGAATTTTATATTTGGAAGAACTCCAAAAGATTATTTAGTCTGATGAATCAAAAATCTTCTCTACCCACAAGGTGTCCAAGAAGAACAAGTCTATTCTCTGCTGCATACAACAGTCTTTTAAAATACCTGAAAAAAGCTATGATGCCCATATAAGGAACTTCTTTAGCTTAAACATATCCCGATCTCTTGGCCTTGCATGGCATGATCCCAGAGCCATTTTTGGCACTAGTAGTTCTCTTCTGGATGATCACCTACTTTTTTGTGCCCTTCCTAAAATGGGACACTTAAAAATGAACAAAGTACTTATTCCCCATGCAGTCTGACCAAGGCAAAGTACTAAGAGACAATTGCCTTCCTGCGCCTGGACACTCTGCCTCTCTGAAAGCAACTTCATATCGTGCTAGCTTGCTTGGAGGTCCTGTCACACTGTCAGTTCATATTGACTTTGGGGTCTACTTATTTGCTTAAGGATTCTCTCAGTTGACACAGAGTTACACAATTTGTACATCAAGCTATAACCTTCACATTGATAAAGTGAGTGTGAACTTTGAAGTTAAATGTTAATTCACTCTCTCTATACCTTTGTTATGGTTTTCCTCTTTGTTTTCTAGGTTTCTCCTCCTTACAAACATATTCTTCATCCATTCACACAAAGAAAGGAAATGGGTTCAAACACTTTATGATATACAAATATATGTGTAAACATATACATACATACATACATACATACATCAAACATAATGTGTATATATACATATGTACAGCAGCTAGGTGGTACAATGGATAGAATGACAGGCCTAAAGTCAGGAAGACTCATTGTTCTGAGTTTAAATCTGGCTTCTGATATTTACTGTGTGACCCTGGACCTGTCCTTAACTCTGTTTGCTTCAGTTTCCTCATCTGTAAAATGAGCTAGAGAAAGAAATGGCAAACCACTCCAATATCTTTACCAAGAAAACCCCAAATGGGGTTATGGAGTTGGACACAACTGAAAACAACAGAACAGCAACAACAAAAGGATGTGTGTGTGTGTGTGTGTGTGTGTGTGTGTGTGTGTGTGTATAGAATAGAGAATGCAAATACAAAAATGAGGTACTCTTTCCTAAAGGAGCTTAAACTCTTACTTTTATCTAATTCTCTACTGTAACCAAAAACCAAGAATCACAGAGAATCACAAATCCAAACTCCTCACACAGAATCTTCCTCTCTCAAGCACAATTCTCAAAATGGCATTTTGAAAAAATAGAATAAACTAAGAATGACATCCAAATCATGACAGTATGCTTGATTGCTGAAAGCAGGAGGATGTTGTGTCTGAAACAGATTTGATGATTCTGTAGTAGGTCAAGAGAGGATTCTCACCTCTAACCTTCTTTTACTCAGCCTGTGGCATCAAAAAATGGCTCTATAGCCTGCATGACCAGATATATGATCTATCCAGTTAATGTATCCTTCATTTCTGTCCTCTTTCTTCCTTTATGCAAAATTCCAGCCTTGCTTTCTCTAGATATAGATATTCTACCATAAAGGGAGCATTTTTGCCAGACATTTTCTCTTTTTAATCTTCATAATAAATAACTTTCCTTTTTCTTAACTGTCTACGAATAGCTTCCTCAGCAAGTTATCATACTAAGCTGTTCATGAACAATCTCCATAGACCATCCTTCTTCTCCCCTACTTAGAAGATCCATAAAGTAGAGGATTTTCATCTGGAAATAGCCCCACTACCTTTCATTTTATAACAGGTTCCTTTTTTTCTGAGTTTGTATTGAATTCTTTTAAAAGGAAGGATCATAGATTTTGCAAAATATAAATGAATTTTTCTTGTCCCTAAATGAGACAAGAGGTAAACTCCTTTGAGGATAGGGACTGTTTTGTTTTTTTCTTTTTTATATCTACCACCTAATATAGTTCATGGCAAATGCATGGATCATTGAACTGACTTATGCTGTGAATGAATGGATGGCATTTATTAATCACTTACTATGTGTCAAGTACTGTGCTAAACACCGGGAATAAAATTACAAAACTAGGACATTTGAGGTTACACTTTAATGGGGGAGAGGACACACATAGGTGAGTAGTGATCAGGGAAAGCTGGTATGGTCTGGGAAGTCACAAAGATGGCAAATAGAACTGGGCAGTTATTATTAGAAGAGTAATGGGGACTTTTTTTTACTTCATTTTTCTTCAGGTTTTGTGTGTATGTGTGCTTTCTTTTGCAACATGGCTAATCAGAAAATAGGTTCTACATGACCACATGTATAATCAATATCATATTGCTTGTTTTCTCAAGGGATGGGGGAAGAGCAGAAGGGAGAATATTTGGAAAATTTTTTAAAAAATGAATGAATTGCATGTAATTGGGAAATATTTAACATATGTATTTTAAAAGATGAATAATGAGGGCTCTGATTGGTGAATGAAGTTATTTATATAAAGTGCTTAGTAAACCTTGGAGCACTATATAAATGTTTGCTATTACTATTATGATTCAAAACTTTTTCTTCCTTTTATGTCTTTAAAAAAAACTAATCTTGAGAAATGCATTTTCCCAAACTTATTTCCAACTTTGAAAAAATTTAACTTGATTTTGAAATTAAATTGGATATTGTTTCTAGTCCATTTGCTGACCTGTCCCAAAAGAAGCACACTCATGATGAGATCTTCTTTTCATTTTTGTCCTCTCTATATGAAACCAAGTCTTACCAGTGAAAAGTCTGGGAAATGAGCAGAAGAGTTCCAAAGTGACAGTTTCTTTCCCTAGGATTATTTATAACTCTAATTTCTTATATTTGTAATTTTTAAAACCAAAGGTACCAGAAAAATGAAAATAGCACACAGCAATAAACATTGCCTTATTTCCAACTTTGGCTTCCTTTAACAGATTCTAAGGGAATCTTTATGGAAGATCAATGATAAAAATTGGAGTATTCAGCTGACCCATGAATTCATCCAGCAGATGGGAGCCTATTACAACACCTCACTTGAGAAGGTCAGTTCTCAGTTAAAATTCCCAAATTAGCCCTTGATGTTAGCAAGCTAGCATTCAAGAAAAGTAGTTGCAATGAGACCTAGCATTTTATTTGGAGTGCAAAATTATTGCTTATGGTTATCTGCTGTCAAAACAGAAAATAAAACTCTTCTTGATGACGACCTCTGTTCTTCATCATTCTAATTTAAGATGGCTCATTCTCAGATTTAGATGGGCCAGCTCTTAACAAGGATTATTTTTCAATATAACTGAAATAAATTCATAGACTCTTAGACCTAGGAAAAAAACAAGAAGCCATCAAGTTGAGCCCTGGGTATCCAAGAAGACCTGTGCCTAAACTATCTTAGGTTCTGTATCCACTGTATTACTGAAAAATTCCATTGAAGAATATTTCCTAAATTCCATAAGTATTCCTGTGAGGAACCATCCTCTGTGAAGGTTTCTGAGAGGCGACATGGTGTAATGGATAGGGCAATGGACTTAGAGTCAGGGAGACCTGGGTGTCAAGCCTTGCTTTTGACACTTACTAGATATTTAATGCTGAGCAAGTCATTTGACTTGTCTGTGCCTCAGTTTTCTTACCTGTGAAATAAGAGGGTAATTCTAAGTACCCTTTCAGTTCTACATCTATGATTCTTCATCCTGTGAAGTTCTTCTGCATCTCTAACCTCATCAAGAAAATAACTTTTTAACCTATGACAGGACCTTATTCACAAAGGACAAGTCTTTCTTTAGTTTCTTATGCCCTAGCTCTGAATACTTCATGGTTTCTGGTAGAAGGGAAAAAGAAAACTTGGCTTGTCTCCCTCTAGAAACTTGCAGAAGCAGTTGGGATAAAGCTAGGAAGGGGCTGAAGCAGATGGGTTAGATGAAACCATTATCTTCAAACCTGCAGTCACTTCTAAAGGGGGATTTTTCCCCTTTTAGGAAGAATATTTCATATCATTTCCTCACCCTCAATTGTTCCTCTGCTATGCACTTTTTCCTCAGCAATGTCTATCATTATAATGAGGGAAATGGTTTGGAAAACAGAGAGGTGGCTTCCATGTGGCACATGCTAGACTCTGGTTCCATCACTTCCTGACATTTCCAGCTGCCTTATTCCCCTTCCTGGGTAAAGATGGATGTGGAGCTGTCTATAGTCAGATATGATCATCAAGGCTAAAGTAACCAAAATCTCTCCTGTCTCAAATTAGGCTCACATTCCTATTTTTACTTGTCCTCAGTGAAGATGGAGAACAGCTGGTAAAAATTCTGCTTAAAATGATCCTATCATCAAACATTTATTAAGCTTAACCACAGCCTTCTCTTCAAACAATCATTCCAACTCTTCACTTTTCCTCTGACAACCTTTTTTATCCTCAAAAATTATTATATCCCTCACCTTCTTCCAAAAATACATTAGAGGTGGTTTACAGAGCTAAAACAACATAAGTAAAGGCATAAGGAGAACAGAACAACAACTAAAAGGAGCAAAAACATTTGTGTTCCTGATGCTTGTCTTTCCTTTTCCCCCCCAGAAATTCCTTTGGAAGGCTCTGGGAACCACTTTATCATGCTGCCAGGATGTGAATTTTGTAACTACCCAGCTGAAGGATATCTTACTCAATGCCAGCCATCTGGGGGACCAGAGAGAGGTAAGCAACCTTCTATCTCTTCCCCCCCCCACACACACACACCTTATTTTTGTGGGTTTCAGTCATATCCTCCAAACCTCTCACTGAAATGACAATAAAATCTTATGCCTCCAGCTATTGTACATTGGGTAATTTTCTAGAAAACTGAAGCATACCACTTTGTACAACGTTTTTCATGGAAAACATTCTAAAAAGGTATTGCATATCTTCCTGCCTTCATAGGGTATGGTTATCAGCAGTATCTTGATCATTCAATCCTTATGAAAAGAATTATTATCCTCTATTGTAATATAGTAATGCCTTTAAGGACTGATGAAGTTTGGAGAACTCTTTTCTTCTCCATCAAATGCTCCCCGTCCCTACCCCCCACCCCAGATGATAGGCTTTTTGTATCTGCTTTCCATAGATTTTTTTCCCTGATTCTTCTTTTACTAATAGACTGTCAGCTCTTACTTTTTACTGTGGTCAGTGTACCTGTCTAGAGCAGAACCCCACCTAATCGTCTGCTACTAATCTCCTGAGTTGTGAAGTCAGATAATTAAGCTTTTAAAATTGTGAAGTAAATGCTCTCTACTCTCAAGGAGCTTGCACTAATTTTTATACTAATGACTTTTAATTTCTTTTTTTTTTTGCTCTGAACTTAAACATCAAATAAAACAAGTATTTTCATAAACATAGTAGAATG